TTTAACAAAATTTATTCAACTGAGAATAAGAATTTTTTTATATTTTAAAGAAATTAAATAATTTTTTTAATTTAACATTATCATTATTTTTTAATTTTAATAATCAATTCTATCATAAAAACTCTTTTTATTTTAATTTTTAAAATAAAATATAAATATAAATTATACTCAAGGTCTTTAGTTTAAAAATAAAATAAAAGCTATCTATTACTTATTATAAAAGAAAAGGAATATAAATTAAAATGTTGAGGATAATTGGTACTATGACCATATCAAGTTGTCTGGCTATGATTTCCCATCTTCCCTTCTTTCTTTTTTCTTTGGAAAAAAAGGCAGTGGCCCTACATCCTTTTCTTGAACTTCGAAGAAGTATACTTAATTCTTAAACAATTACGTAGTAAATATAGAAAGTGAAAAAAATTAAAAATAACCTTAGATAGAGGAAGAGAAAAGACGAAGGAAGAAATAAAAATCGCATTTTCAGATTTTCTAAGGTTAAGAACACATTTTATTATTAGAAAAAGTGAAGTGCAAGTTTGTTTTGTATGAATTACATTTTACTTAATTATTGTTGTAAAAGAAAGATAAATCTCATTAATAATTAAAATTAATGTAATTTATGTATATTAATAATAAAAAATATAATAAATTTGCTATTGACTAATACTCTAAAAGCATAAATTAAAAGAATAAGCCTTAGTCAAAATAATAGTGTCCTCACTTTAATGCATGTACAATTTTTTCACATTTTATTAAATATAGTAAATTTAGGAATGATACCTCATCTAGCCCCCAAAACTTATTTTGATTAATCAATTAAATTCCCAGACCATACATTCAAACTAGGAAATAATATCAATTTGTCTTATCTTCTAAAGATTAAAAGAAAAATCATCTCAAAATCACGTCGTTTCAATAAATCTTTATTAAAAAGGACTAAAATATCATATTTTTAAATATATAAATTAAAGTATTTTTTGTCATTTCTTATAATACTTTATTAAAACTAAGTAATTTTGAAATAATTTTGAAATAATTTTTTTCATCTTTAGAAGATAAGATAAATAAATATTAATCCCTTCAAACTATCATCCCTTTGTTAAAGTTTTAAATCAACCTCATTAACCAAAGCGAATATTAGGCTGATAATTAATGGTAGAAGGGAAGAGCCATTTTTTGTTGGCCCTATCAAGTACCAAGCAAGAAGGTAGTTTTCTTTCCCAACACTTCTAAGTTAATAGCCAAGATGAATTGAGGAAATTGATCAATTAGGGTCTCAACTTTGGTGGCACTTAACAAGTGAGAATTGTTCTTGAGGTAGGGAATACAATTGATTAAAAACGTGCTCAAAGGCAGAGTTGAGAAATAGAAAAAAGTTGGGTTTTCTTATCAAAAAATGTTAAAATTATAATGTGATATAATATTGTAAGTTTATTTTATAATATATTATTATATAATTGGCTCTTTTTATTAAAAAATTTATTTGTAATATTATATGTATATATTTATTTAATATTATATCATATTTATTTAATATCACATCATGATTTAAGTTTATAATCTCACATTATATCTAATCAAGTACAATATTACTATTTTTTTAGCCTATGCACAAGTTAAAAATGTATTTATTATTCTTTTTATTTTAAAATAATTGTTATTATTTAATTTTTTTGCTAAATTAAAGAATTGAGAACAAACAAACAACTTATTGGACTGAGTAAAAGTAGCTCGGTCTCCTTTAAATAAGATATCAAATTCGAATATTGTGAATAGAGAAACAATAATTGAGAGAATTTCTCTCTTTATCGATTCCTTTTTAACTCAATCTTGGATTACTTAGAGTTTAATGTGATTTATAAATTTGAAAAGGATAGTAAAAAAAAAACAGATTTGAGGACAATATTTATATTTATTTATAAAGGAAAAATATACATAAATTTCAACTCTTAAAAAAATTAGAGTTTGAACCTTAATTATTTCGTTTTATTTAATTAAAATTTAATTTAAAATTTAAAAATTTATCTTATTAAATATTCATATTTAAATTTAAAAATTGATTAAACTTTTGTATTTTAAATTAAGATTTTAATTTCTAAATATAAATTAAAACTCTAATTTTTTTAACAATAAGGATTGATATACGGTAACCTTTATTTATAATATCCTTAAAAGGAAATTAACATACAAAAAGAGATTTTTTGTGATTAAATGATTAATTAAAATGAATAAATAATGATAAAATTAAAGTAAGAAAACAATATTTGTCAAGTTTAAAAAATAAAAAATAATAATTAATTTGAAATAAATTTAAAATAAAAAATGATAATTATTTTAAAAAAAAAGTTCATATTTTCACCATTAATTTATATATATAATTACAAAAATTTATTTTCAATACTAATATTATAAAAATATTATAATTGAACTCTTGTCAAAATTAAAGTTATTTTTATTTTTTATATAAATTAATAATAACAATATATAATAAATATATTTTAAAGACGCGTAATAGAAAGTTCGAAAAAAATCAAGGGCTTTACTTTAAAATTAAAAGAAATTCCATAATTTAATTTTTCAAGTTTTTTTTTTTTAACATATTTACAAGAAGCGAGTTTCGAACCCAGCTCAGGGAAGGGGGAACGCACCGGGTGGCTATTGTCACTAAACTTCAAGGGTCAGGTGTAATTTTTCAAGTTTTTTTATTTTTGGATAAACATAGAAATATAATTAGGCATCAAGATAAGGGTACATCGAGGGTCCAAAATGCAACTTGCCAAAAAACTAAAAAAAAAAAAATAATAATAATAAAACAATGTGAACTGGAAACAATTAACTCAGGACAACCACAACTTCACTGACACGTGTCAGTCGTGATAAGACAGGTGTCGGTTAGTGACAAGAAGACCGAATGAGTTGTCAGCTAATTATTGGCTGCAGCCACAAGAGCTAGCTAAGCAGAAACCGACGTAATAATTAAATAAGGGATTTTTTAAGAGTCCACATCTATTCAACTTTTTTTTAATATTAACTTACGTAATAGAAAAATATCAAACCTTACATTAATTTAATTACATAAAGAATTTGTTTAAATGCATCAGAATAAGAAGGTAAAAAATATTTTTTTATAATTAATTTATATTAAAAATAATAAAAATTAAATTTTATTTTAATATGATTGTTATATAAATAATTTTAATTAATTAATTAATTTTAAATTAAATTTTATTAATTTTTTTATCATGTACTGTAATGATATAAGATAAGAATATAATAAATATAATTTTTTATTATTAATTTTTATTGAAAATATAAATATAAATATTAATTTAATTAATGAATTAATTAAATCATTTATACCTTAATGATATTAAAATATATGTTAATTTTTATAATTTTGAATGTAAATTAATTATAAAAAATTATATTTATTATATTTTTAACTTATACATAAAAATACAAGTTGAATAAGTTCATTTTTATTTTTTAATAAATTAATTATAAAAATATATTTATTACATGTATTTTAAGAATAAAAGATTCATAAACTTTACATAAATAATCGAGGTTAAGTAAGATTAATCATGATTAATCACTGTTCTTAGTAGATAATCACGGCCCTGGCGTACTATAAAAGGAGGAGGAAGGGAGTGGGAGAAACCAGAGTGGGCTGAGAGCTTCCACAGAAAAACTTGAGAGAAAAAAAAAAGGGAAAGAAAAGAGAGTTTTCTTGAGAGATCTAAACACTCTGAGCGATTTTGATTTTCATCTGCTTTCTTTGATTTCCCCCCTTCTGTTGATCCCCGCTTCTCTGAATCCCTTTCTGTTAATCATCTGCTTTCAAAAAGAATCTGAATTTTGGGTTTGTTTTTGAAGATCTAAGGAACAAATATGTGTAGAAAGCAAACTTAGAAGGTTTTCTCGAAAGTCAGGTGTTTTCAGAATCGAGATCCAGGAAATTATTTTGTTTCCTCTGTTTGATTTTTTCTTTTTTTTTTTGTTCGTAGGAAAAACCAGCTTATAGGGTGATTTTTTATCCCTCAAAGGTTGGATTTCAGGGGTTTGTATATTTTAAAAACCTCTTTGAATCTGTTTTCAGGAACCTGTTTTCTTAAATTTTGGTGAGAAACAGGGTTTCTTTCTTTTTCTGTTTCTTTTTCTTTCTCTGATTTCAAGGTTGTGTTTTTTAAGGTTGTTTTTCAGTTGCAGAAATGGCGGCTACCATGGATTTCTACTGTAGCAGACCAGTTCAACCCGATCTATTTGGGGATGAGTTGATGGGAGCACTTGAGCCTTTTATGAAGAGTGCTTCTCCTTCTTCTTCTTCCCCACCTTCTTCTCCTTCTTTCTCCCCTTCTTCTTCCCACCTTTCTTTTTCCCAACCCCCGTCTGGTTTCTTTTCCGACGGTTGCTCCACTTCCATGACCGCCCAAGGGTTCCAGACCCATGACCCCTTTTCCGGTCTCCAGCAACCCGGATCTGCAATCGGGTTAAACCAACTTAATCCGGTTCAGATTGAGCAGATCCAGGCTCAGTTTCACCCCCAAAACAACTACCAGCAGTTTATCTATCCTACTCAATATCAAAATCGGCAGAACAGCGTGCTCAACTTTCTCAGCCCGAAGCCGATTCCGATGAAACAATTCGGGTCGCCTTCGAAACCGGCTAAGCTTTACAGGGGAGTCAGGCAACGTCATTGGGGCAAGTGGGTCGCGGAGATCCGGCTACCCAAGAACCGGACCCGCCTCTGGCTGGGCACCTTCGACACCGCCGAGGAAGCTGCCTTGGCCTACGACAAGGCTGCCTACAAACTCAGAGGCGACTTCGCGAGACTCAACTTCCCCCACCTCCGTCACCATGGATCCCACATCGGCGGCGAGTTCGGCGACTACAAGCCTCTCCACTCCTCTGTCGACGCAAAGCTGCAAGCCATATGTGAAAACTTGCAGGAGTCGCAGAAACAGGGAAAGAAGAAATCAAAGGAAGGGGAAAAGAGTAACAGCAGCAAGAAGAAGGCCCAAGTATCGGAACCTGAACCCGAGGAGAAAGCAGTGAAGGCGGAGAACTCCCCGTCGCCGTCTCCAGTTACGACGGAGAGTGACGGGTCGGCAGGGTCTTCGCCTTTGTCGGATCTTACATTCTCGGACGTCAACGACCCACAATGGGAGATTGCTTCTTCGGAGAATTTCATGTTGCATAAGTACCCTTCTTACGAGATCGACTGGGCATCGATTCTGTCACAAGTTAATTAGTAATCAGTTGTATTTAGTATGTAATTGTTGGGTTAGAGTTAAGGTCAGGGGCCGCCTGCAATGAAGTTTTTGACAGTTGCAGACGGCGGCGTCAGCGTAGGACTTGTTAATATAGTGTAAAATTTCCGCCGTGGTCAGCTGGGTTTTTTTAGTCACGCTGGACCACGGAGAAAAGTTTGTTAATTTTGTGTTGTGTTCATTAGCCTTTGTAATTGTAGAATTCCATTCATGCTATATATTTCAAGTATTTTACTTTTCATGTAATTTATATTTCTTTTCTCGAGGATTCTACCACTGATTCAAGAGGTTTACATACATATTATATTTTTATAAAATTTCAATTATTTATTTTTAAATTTATTATTTGGATTAATAAAATAACAATGAATTTGGTATTTAATTTGTTTATTGAAAAAAAAAGAGAATTGAAATAAATGAATCTAAATTTGAAATACATTAAGGTAAAAGGGTGTTTCAAATATATAGATTTAAAATAATAAAATACATAAACCCAATTACATATATTTAAGATAAATTTAATTACATATTTATTTTAAAAATAAATAATAATATTAAATTTAAAAGATTAATATTTGAATACACTCTATAAAAATTACGTTCCCTGACATAACATTGGTTGAGTTTAGTTT